TCAAGTCGGTTCCAACTCATAGTGACCGTGTTTAGGATTTCCAAGGAGCAACTGGTGGGTTTGAACAGCCAACTTTGTGGTTAGCAGTCCAGTGCTGAGCCTACAGCACCACATCAAGACCCCCATATATATCATAAAGCAAAGAAACCAGCAAGGGTTCTATGCAGACTTTGGGGATGTCTGAAGAAACGATTTTTGAGCTGCATTCTGAAGACAATGGAACTATATGAAGACATTCAAAAAGTTTGTGGGAAAATGGAATTCAAAGAGAATGGCCTTTTTCCACGAACATTTCTGGAGCCCGCTGGTACAGATCTCCAGATTGGCTTTGGATAATGGACTGTATGAAGTCTGGGGATGGGAAGGAAAGTGGGAAATTGTACGCAGACTTGTCTGGTTGAATGGTGGGGTTCATGCTGGAAATAAGGTTGAATAAACAGGAATAAGCCAGATGACAAACACCTCAAATCTAACTACTTTTAAAAAACGCTATTTTCTACTACAAGGTGAGTGTGGGTTGTTTTTCTTCCCCAATTATTCCTTGCAAAACATACAATGTTCTTATGATAAAGAGGATACCAATGATGCAAATCAGTCCAATAATATCTCAGCAGCCAAAAACCAAGGGTCCAAGTTGCTGGAATAATTTAAATACCACGAGTGATACATGTATTCTGTGCATCAAACCCTAATTCAGCTCCGTGAACTTTTTCAAGTGTTTCTTTGTCAAACTTTGTAAGAGCTATCATCTAACAACACATTCAAAACAGTATTACCTGCAAGATCGTAATGAAGAGGAAGAAAGCGTTGGCAGCTTTCCGAAACTGCAGAAACAAATATCGAGGCAGAAATGACCAGATGCTATACTTGGCTGTGCTAGTGTGGAAGAGAAAAACCCAGGTTAGTTACCAGAATGAACTCTAAAACCGTTGAAAAAATGCAATACTTTAGTTATGACTCCATGTTGGATTAGGAATAAAACACTGACCCATTTCTGAAGCTGGTTTGCCTGTTTCTGAATGCACCTACTATTGTCGGGGAGTCCTGTGTGATGCTGGAGGGGGAGCACTGGACTGCTAACTACAAGGTAACTGCAGTCCAAACCCACCAGCTGCTCCTTAAAAACCCTATACAGGGTTGTTTGGAGTCTGAACCAATTTGACAGCATGCAACAATAGCAACTGTTATCTGAAAACAATTTCAGGATTGAAAGAAAAAGGAGAAAAAGAATTTTCCCCATTTGGGGACGGTGTTGTTGTTAAGTGCCATAGAGTCAATTCCAACACATAGTGACCCTGTTAAGTGTTCCCAAGGAGCATCTGGTGGATTTGAACCACTGACCATGCAATTAGTAATTAATCCAGTGCTTAACCTATAGCGTGCACACAAAATAAGTGCTATGAATAGAGCAGATATGGAGAGTCAAGGACCAAAACTCTGAAACTGGCAAGTTGTCTAAACACATCTACACAGAGATCCATAGCCAAACATGGAGAGGAGTT